TCTTAGGGAGGGATGGCGGTGCTTCATGTGGGATTGGTCATCTGGTTATCGTTCTGCAGGCGAGTGTGTTTTGACATCCTGGTTGGTCTTGTCCCGTCGTTTGGCCTGTAGTTGGCGGGGGCGGTGCTTGCATGTGGGACTTGTCATCTAGGATTGTCATTTAGGATTTGTTTTAATTTTGTTTGCTTCGATTTTGTTATTGGGCATCCTGGTTGGTTGTTTCCCGTTGTTCGGCCTTTTGAGCGCGGGGCGGTGCTTGTATGTGGGAATCGTCCTCTGGGATTGTCTTCTTTTCTAAGTTGTCACACTGTGATCAAGGGCGCAGGAGCCTTTCTTTATTTTCTTTGTAGATAAGAATGTTTTGATATCCTGGTTGGTCCTGGTTTTCTTTTCTCCTTTTTTCTCTTTTTTTCGCATTTGCGCTCTGATATTCTTGTGACAATATATATATATATATATATTTTTTAATATTATATTGACGATATTATTGAGATAATTTTGAAATTTAGATGATATTCTGCAACCATGAGAAGCGACATAACAGAAAGGTAATGTTCGTACTTTTTTTTTTTTTTGGTCGTACGGGATTTGACTGGATGCACAAGATGTATTTCCTATGATAGTACAGCCTAATACATCTTTTTATGATTTATGTGAGTGAGTCTGCAATTTTCAATTTCTAACGTTTCCTGTCTTTAGTTTGAAAAAAAAAAAAAAAAAAAAACAATTTTGAAATTTCTAATCTTGGTGGGAAGCTGCATCTGCAGGACCACGTCCCGCCACCCATAAAATATATTCAAAAAATCCATTCCATTGTTTATTGAGAATGTATATATAATTAGAATTAGATTATATATATAGATAATAAATTCTCAATAATAGACATAAAATAAATACACATAAAATAGAGTATTACGTCAACATTTTGTGTGTGTATGTGAGTGTGTTAAAGATAAGTTGGCTAATACAACTACAGCATCGTGTGTCTGTCGGGCTGCTTCTTCTTCTTCTTCTTCTTCTTCTTCTTTTTAAGTTTTTTTTTTCTTTTTTTAATCCGGACATCCGGACCTGTTAATTGACTACCGGACCGTCCGGGTCCGCATGCTCGGTTGTCCGGAACAGTGTCCGGATTACCGGACGTCCGGATTAGTCCAGATGCAGGTCCGGGCCAGGTGCCCGGTGTCTGGATGTCCGGGTCCGGGGCAACCATGGTTTTCAACTGTTAGCTTCTTTTTTTCTTTTTTCTTTTTCTTTTTTTCACAAACGAAGGTAGATTCTTCTCTGAATTTCACCTTTCACTACCTACCTTCCACTACTCCTAAGGCTATACAGGGGACCCCTGCAAACATAGCTTTCTACCTCTCACAATAAGGGGAGGCATGTTGGCCCCCAGCGGAATCGGCTTTGGTCAGGGAGTAGGGTAGGGCTGCTGGTGGTGGTGGGGGAGCATTTTGCCAGTAGCTGCGCCTCCCATCCACTTCCCCTGCCCCAATCAAGTCACAGCAGTGTCTTTGGCCAGCACTCTCCCACACACCGCATACAACCCACACACACACACACACACACGCACATGATGGCCAAAGACCCTACCAATACCGAACGGCGGGAGGAAGCCAACTATCCAGTTGGTTGGCACCAAGAGTGCCGCAGGTGGTCAGCAAGGATTGAACCCACGACCTCCGAAATGCCACTTGCGTGCCTAACCAACTGAGCTAAAGGCTGAGGCTGGTGTTTTATAATTGGAACTAGGAAAATAAAAAAAATCTGGGTGCTTGCCTATATTAGTATATGATGTATATCTATGCGGATTACTTACTGGACCTCTTGGGAACAAGGACATGACCCAAATGTGTACACTGGAAATGGAAAGAAGTTCAACCCTTTTTTTTTTTTTTTTTTTTTTTTTTTTTTTTTTTTNAGTAATTCGTGGACTGGACACACATGAGAGCCCCCCTAATCCTTTTTTTTTTTTTTTTTTTTTTTTTAACCCTATGGGACTCCCTCCCAACCTACCTCTTTCGTAATTGCTCCCGGCGCACTCCTACTCCCACTATCCAACCTCAGTGTCTACCACTCAGGATTGTCACCCTCCAGCTTTGGGGTGACCTGACCGAACCATGGTTGTAGGTACCAGGGCTCAGCTGAGTTCCACACACCCTACTCAGCCCTGATCGAAGCACATTTGTGCAAGCCTGGTTGCCCAGGTACTTCAGGTGCTAGGCACAGACGTTTCACTACAAGTCGCATAGGTGGACCTATTTTGCGTTCCTATCGTTGTGTACACAGCTGTTGCTGTTGTTTGCTGTTAGGTTCTTCGCTGTGCACACTGTTGTCATTACTACTTGTTTGTTGATAGTGAACCGAACATAGGAGGCAGGCAACCCAACCAATCCTGTAGAGAGCCCCACCGACACAAGAGCCCTACCAGCACTGGCCATAGACTGTACTTTTTTTTTTTTTCTTTTTTTTTTGGACAAGCACCCCTTCCAGTGCTAGTGCTGCTGATAAGAGCAGACAGCACTATCACCGGAGGAGAGGCTCCATCTATTGGTGGGTAGCGTCACCTGCTGGAAATTGGGTCCAGCGTCCCGTTTTACAGCAAAACTGGAACCAATGACTGTGAGTAGCTGTGGGACCTGCCAGCATTGATTGCCCTGCAGAATCAGGGGATTAACTGAGCAGGCTTATGTGAAAGCCAAAAGTGCATGTAAGAGAACCGCTGCTGCCTGCCAGCATCGATTGCCCTGCAGAGCAGGGGATTAACTGAGCAGACCTGTGTAGACCTTGGAGAGCTGCTGTTGCCTTTGTATCTTTTCACCCTCAGAGAGAGGCTGCATGTACAACCTCAAAAACAACAACAACAACAACAACAACAACAACAACAACAACAACAACAACAACAACAACAACCACACATATCTATGGGACTAACTACCAGACCCCATAAGACCTAGGACATGATCCAAATGTGGGACCTTGGGCCCATTAAAAACATATATAGATCGCCTTCCTATCCATAATGGACCTGGTCTTATTCAGTGCCATCTTATAAAGCCCAAGTACCACTTTTTTGTAAGAGGCAGAAAACAAATGTGGGCACTCAAAAAAAAAAAGAAAAAAAGAAAAAAAAAAAAAAAGAAAGAAAGAAAGATAACAAAAGTAGGTAGGGACACTGGGAATGGAAAGAACAATCTTAAACTGCATCTACAGGGCCCCATATCTATGAGACTGACTACCAGATCCCATAAGGCCTAGGACATGATCCAAATGTGTGACCGCTGCCCTTGAGTCATTAAACCACCAGTACGTTTATAAGGCCTAGAAAAAATCAAAGGCGTGGCGTGCAGGCTGCTGCGACATCCATCCAGGCATAACGGACCTCGCATGCGACCCGTTTTGCCTGGATGGACGTGCTGCGAAATGGCGCCCCGGTATCTCCCAAGAGTCACGGCAGCATGCACGCCGTGACTTTGAATTTATAGCTGGGAAAAAAGTGCTGGTGGTTTAGAAACATATACATCGACTTCCTATCCATAGTGGACCTGATCTTATTCAGTTTCATGAACTTTCATCCCATACGAGGCAGCAAGAGAGAACAAATGTCGGTAGGGACACTGGGAAGAAGGGAAAGAACTAACCTATTCTGCATCTACAACGACCTGTATCTATGCAACCGACCGCCACACCCGATAAGACCTAGGACATGACCAAGTTCCAAACTTGGGTCCTTAACAACATACATATATTGTGGACCTGGTGTTCTTCAGTTTTCGCCATACTTTTCAGCATTTTCAGTTCATCAAGCTAAGCAGCATTGAATTTGAGGGGGTGGGGGGGGGGGGCAACATGCACCCCCTTATTTGTGAGAGGTAGCTATGTTTGCAGGGGTCCCCTGTACAGGCTTAGGACTCAGTTAGGACTCAGGAGTAGTGGCTGGTAGACAATGAAAGGTGAAATTGAGAGAAGAACATAGCTTAGAGTTGGTTTTTGTTGTTGTTTTTCAATCTGGAGTGGCAAATTGGCAATTACAAAACCAAAAAGAAGAAGAAGAAGAAGAAGAAGAAGAAGAAGAAGAAGAAGAAGAAGAAGAAGAAGAAGAAGTTAGAAACAAATTGCATTGCGACCAACTGGGGATTCAGGTACTGGCTAGTGACAGGAAGAAGACACACACGTTAAAATTGGAACGAGAGTAACGGTACAGAGAAGATTGGCATGGCCCCTGCGCAAAGGGGGATGGGACGTACATCTAGAGAAAAATGGTCCAGATTCTTAATTTCTTACTATTCACCGTCTCTCGGCAAATGCAAATGAATATATTGGCGCTCGCAACGATGAAGCGCACAGCAAAATGCGATACGCTATGTGAATTGCAGAAATCTGTGAGCCATTCAAAAGAAGAAGAATACGAAAAAAACTTTGAAAAACAGTTCAGAAGTTAAAACACATGCACATTCAAAACTGCTTCAGTCTATTGCTGATGAGAGGGGGCAGCACCTGCTGGAAACCAGGTCCAGTGTCCTGGTTGGAAGCAACACAAATGTATAAGTACCGAACAATAGCGTGCGAAATTGCGAATATATATTAATAATTAATTAAATTAAATTAATATAATAACATATGCACCCTGTTTGCTGGCTGTGGGTTTCACAGTGGCAGTATTTCAGAGCATATGCCAGCCTCTCTTTCGCCAAGGACAAGTACATTGTTTCTGGTCTGCCTACTGAATCTGAAACCACATCTGGATGGTTTTTCTTCTTTCTTTCTTTCTTTCTTTCTTCCTTCCTTCCTTTTCTTTTCTTTTTTTTTCTTTTCTTTTTTTAACAGCGTCATGTGCTGGGAACAGGGCCCAGAGGCTTTCTTTTTTTTTTTCCCCCTCTCAAATATACCTCACACTACCTAACCCCATGTCTACTTCTACCTAAGTCCAGCCGAGCCTAAGCGCAGCAACCCACATCTATGCATCGAGCATGGAGTTACGCTAAGGGTTCTGAAGGACAAGCTGAGTCTGAATCTGAATCTGAATCTGAATCTGAATCTGAACCTAAATCAAAACCTTGGTCTACATCTGAATCTGTACCAGAATCTGAGTCTAAATCTAGGAAGCAAATC